CCCCTGCAGTTCTGGGCAGAGCCGACCTTTCGGAGTATAGGCGAGGAGCTTGGGGGAGTAGAGGAGATAGACATTCATGGTGGTCGGGTGAAGGTGATCCTAGATGGGTTAAAACCCCTGTGCTTTGAAACGGAGCTCGACTTTGGTAATGGGGTGGAGATTCCGGTGAAGCTGTGGTACGAGAGGCTGTTTGGGTTTTGCAAGTTATGTCATAGCCTTTGTCATGACGAAGATGAGTGCGAGAAGCTGATTGTCAGGAGGGTGCAACCTTCTGGAGGTGATCGTCACAATCCTTCCCAGGATGACAGGGAGAGGAGACATCATAGCTACAGAGGCGCAGTCGAATCGGAGGCGAGAAAAGGCTCGGAGCAGGATAGTAAGAAGCGCAGTTTGGATAAGGGGAAAGGGGTGGAGAAGGAGCAGCGAGGAGAGGGACACAGGTCACGATCAGGACATTACCACGGGGAGCCATCGTACCGGTCTAGGCGTTATTCCAGCTACTCCCAGCTCAACGATCACAGACGCGTCACGTATGATGAGGAAACCGGTGAAGCGACTATTGTGGAGCCCCCAGAAGCAAAGGTGGCTGGAATTAGCAAAAAACTGGTACGTAAGTCTCTATTCCAAGTTGAGGATAATATGGAGGTTGGTTCTGGACTAACAGTGGCAAATGTGGAGGTTGGTTTGGAATCGGTCTCTTTAAATGAGAATGTGGTTTCTGAGGGTGGGAGCTTGGTTGCGGTTGTTCCTGACAAGGAGGGGGAGCAAGTGGAACAGGAAATTGATCCTGAGGTTTTGAATTTTTCTGCTGTGGTTGTGTGTGAACAGGAAATGGAAACTCGGGCCTCTGTCGAAGAAAGTGAAATGGAAATGGGAATGGTGGCTGCGGAAAGGGAGAGTATAGACCCTGGATTGCTAGTGGATGCAGAGTTTCAGCAGGCGGCTCTGGAGGCAGGAGAAGAGGTGACCGAGGAGGAGTTGGAGCTGATGGATGACCTGGAGGAGGAAACAGTGGAGAAGGAGGATACGGCTGGAGATCGAAGCCGCCGGGTTCGTGGGTCAGTGCTGGCTGGTGCAGGTTCCAAAAAGAGGATTGCTCAGATGCTGTCCACACCTAGGAAAAGGCAGGCGGCAAAGAATGGTGAAGGAGGAAACCCGAAGCCCAGGGAGATGGAGAAGGGAGGTCCAGCTGGGTCTAAGCCACCAAAACCAAAGATTACCAAATGAAGATAATAAGTTGGAATTGTCAGGGACTTGGGAATAAGTCAACAATTGGGTATCTTCGGGACATTTGGAAGAAACATAGGCCAGAATTTTTATTTTTATCGGAAACAAAACAATCTTCTCCTTTTTTAGAGCAATTTCAAGCTCATTTTGGTTATAATAATTTGATAACGGTTGATCCAATTGGTTGTAGTGGGGGGTTGGCATTATTCTATAATAATAATATTTTTAATGTTACTCTTTTATTTAAGTCTAATCGGATTATTGATATTGAAACGGTTTTTAAAGGAAAAACAATAAATTTGTCATTTGTGTATGGTGATCCCGTTCCCAAAATGCGAGGAGACGTTTGGGAAAGACTAACTAGAATTGGTACAGTTCGATCTACTCCTTGGTTTTTGATAGGGGATTTTAATGAGATAACTGGCAACCATGAAAAGAGAGGGGGTAAACTTCGAACGGCCTCCTCATTTCTCCCATTTAATTGTATGATACGAGATTGTGGTTTTCTTGAGTTTCCCACACTAGGGGACTGGTTCTCGTGGCGGGGGTGGAGGGATAAGAAACCAATTAGGTGCCGGTTAGACAGAGCGCTTGGTAATGAAGACTGGCATGAGATGTTTTCGGATACGATAACGGAGTACTTACCCATGATCGGGTCGGACCATAAGCCGATTGTTACGTGTGTAGCTGAACGGCGAGCTCGGAGGCGAAAATGTTTCATTTTTGATAAGCGTTGGGTTGGAAAAGACGGTCTCAAGGAAGCTATTGCTTCTGGTTGGGGCACGAACACCACAAGGGGCCCGAGCTCTTTTGTTGATAATCTTAATAATTGTCGCCGAGCTGTTTCTAAGTGGCGGAGAGATCAGGTACCTTTTGGACGGGATACAATAGAAGAACTTAAAAAGGAATTGGCGGAGGCTTAGGCGGATGATAATTCCCCCCAGTCAGTTATTTTTGAACTCTCGAAACGGTTGCGAGAGGCTTATCATGATGAAGAGGTTTATTGGCAGCAAAAAAGTCGAAATAGGAGGATGAGAGTAGGAGATATGAATTCAAAGTACTTTCACGCTCAAACTAAATGTAGGCGTGCAAGGAATCGGATAGTGGGCTTGTTTAATACTCAAGATATCTGGTGTTCGGAGGACAAAGATATCTATGGAATCGCAACGGACTATTTTAATGAGTTATTCTCGACCAGTAATCCGTCTGCGTTTGAGGAGGCTTTAGGCGGAATACAGACCTTGATTTCGGAAGAGGAAAATAGATCTCTTACGCAGGCAGTGACGGAGAAGGAAATTAAAGATGCTCTTTTTATGATGAACCCGGAAAAGGCTCCAGGGCCGGATGGTATGACAGCATTATTTTTTCAACAAGCTTGGGGGGTGGTAAAGGAGGATTTAGTGTTTGTAGTAAACTCTTTCTTTCAAGACGGGGTTTTTGATAAACGGTTGAACAGGACAAATATTTGTCTAATTCCAAAAGTGGAGAGACCAACCCGAATGGCGGAATTCAGACCGATAAGTTTGTGTAATGTGAGCTACAAGGTTATATCAAAAGTTCTTTGTCAACGGTTAAAACAGGTGCTACCGGGTCTTATTTCGGAAACACAATCGGCATTTGTCCCAGGCAGACTAATATCCGATAATATTTTGATTGCTCAGGAGATGTTTCACGGGCTTCGAACAAATCAGGCATGTAAAAACAAGTTTATGGCTATTAAGACAGATATGAGTAAGGCGTACGATAGAGTCGAATGGGAATTTGTAGAGAGGTTATTACGCAAGTTTGGCTTCTCAGAGAAATGGATTTCATGGGTCATGTTTTGTGTGTCTTCGGTGGAATACAATGTGTTAATTAATGGACAACCTCAGGGATCCATAATTCCGGAACGAGGTTTACGGCAGGGTGACCCGTTATCTCCATATATATTCATTTTGTGTACAGAAGTATTAATTGCAAATATTCGGAGAGCGGAAGGGGCGAAACAAATTTCGGGTATTAAGGTGGCAAACAAAAGCCCGCCAATCTCTCATTTATTATTTGCTGATGACAGTCTTTTTTTCTGCAAAGCTAACAAAGAGCAGGGTGCTGTTATTCTGGATATTTTAAAAAGGTATGAATTGGTGTCTGGCCAACAAATAAACTTTGCAAAGTCCTCAATACAGTTTGGTCACAAGGTGGATGAAGTTACCAAAACGGAGATTCAGGGGGTACTAGGTATAACAACCATGGGGGGAATGGGAACTTATCTCGGGCTCCCAGAGAGCATTGGTGGCCCAAAAACCAAAGTTTTTTCATTTGTTCAGGATAGACTTAATAACCATATTAGTGGTTGGTCGGCGAAATTACTGTCGAAGGGAGGTAAAGAGGTGATGATTAAAGCAGTGGCATCTGCATTGCCAACATATGTGATGTCCTGCTTCCGGTTACCCAAATCGGTTACAACTAAGCTTACTAGTGCTGTGGCGAATTTTTGGTGGGGATCAAATGGAGGTGCTGGGGGAATGCATTGGTGGGCTTGGGCAAAATTGTGTGACAGTAAACAGCTGGGCGGTCTGGGGTTCCGGGATGTTCAAGATTTTAATTCGGCCCTTCTGGCGAAGCAGTTGTGGAGACTGATGGAGTTCCCTGATTCCCTATTCGCAAAGGTTTTTAAAAGTCGGTACTATCGGAAATCTGACCCAATGGCACAGATTCGGACTTACTCTCCGTCTTATGGTTGGCGGAGTATTATTTCAGCTAGATCTCTGGTGCAAAAAGGACTTATTAAAAGGGTTGGGTCAGGAGAGGCCATATCGATATGGACTGATCCTTGGATTCCAGCTCAATTCCCGAGACCAGCTTCAAGTATTGGGCCGTTTAAGGACCCAACACTTCTTCTAACTCAATTTATCGATCGACAACGAAACATGTGGCGTATGGAGTTACTCAAACAGTTCTTTGATCCGTCAGATGTTTCTTTAATTAATGCGATTCCTGTGGGTAATTATGCAGAGAAGGATGCATTAGGATGGCACTTTACAAAACATGGAAAGTATACGGTTAAGTCAGGATATCATACAGCAAGGTTGGTGACCTCGGAGGGCTTTAAGCCTGTGGTTTGTGGTCCTCTACTCACACCTTTGTTTGCTAAGATTTGGAAAGTACGTTGCCCACGTAAAATTCAACATTTTATGTGGCAACTGTTATCTGGTTGCATTTCGGTGGCAGCTAATCTCCGAAGGCGAGGGATCAACATTGACCCTAGCTGTTCGAGGTGTGGTTCCCCGCTGGAAACGGTGAACCACGCTATTTTCGAGTGCCCGCCGGCTCGTCAGTCGTGGGCTCTTGCCAACATTTCTACGGGCCCAAATTTTTTTCCGACGGAATCTGTGTACGCTAATATGGCATATTTGTTAGAGCCTGACATTCAGAATAGTGGGGATGGAAGTTTCCCATGGATCTTATGGTATATCTGGAAAGCTAGAAATACAAAGGTTTTTGAAAATATGGATGACTGTCCAGCGGATGTTATTAAGTTGGCAAAGGATGAGGCGACGACCTGGCAACGGGCACAACTGGAAGGTCTGGGTCAGGGGACAGGTAATGGGGTTGGGGGTCTGCGGAATTTGGGGGAAACTAGAGTCTTAAACATTGACGTTGACGGGACCTGTTGTTTTGTTGATGGTTCCTGGAAGAATACGGATCCGTATGCGGGGTTGGGATGGTATTGCCCGCAAACACAAGATGTACCGACAACTATGGGAGCACAGACAATCCGACGAAGTATGTCTCCTCTACATGCTGAAGTCGAAGCACTTGTATGGGCGATGCGTTGCATGATTGGACATAACTTCACGGAGGTGAAGTTCTACACAGACTGTTCCGATTTGGTGAAGATGGTGTCTTCTCCGTGTGAATGGCCGGTGTTCTCTGCTTACTTGGCAGATATTCAAGTTGATAGGGAAGAATTCGAGTCTTTTTCTTTGTCTCTTATTTCTAGAAATGCAAATGTAAAAGCGGATAGTTTGGCACGACGAGCTCGTGTTAACCCGCATATCGCTAAATTTGTAAACAATGTTCCGTCTGATTGGCTCATTTGAGTCGATCTTTTAGTTTGAAGATGACAAAAAAAAAAAAAGAATGGGGAATATTTGCTAACACAAAAGGCATATAAACCAAAGAGTGTTATGCAAAATTAATGTCTATTTTGGGGGGTTTCAACCTTATTATGTCTATCACCAATTTTAGTCAAAGTGTATTAATTTGTTACGTTCAGTCTCCGGATGATTTGGTCTATCATTATATAGAATTTGGTAAGAAATCAATGTATTTTATTTGATATATTGGTAACAAATTAATACTGTAATTTAATGATTTTTTACTTTTAATTTGGTCAAGATTTGTATTTGTGTATGCTAAATTTTATGTTTTTACTATATGTTTCCGTTAGCAATAAAAAAATGTTTGAAAGAAAAAAAAAACGTTTAAGTAGTATATTTAAAATATTTGGAACAATTTTTTTAGTTAGAAAGATGGAAACAATTGTTAAAACTACTTTTAGTTAAAAATGGTTGTTTCCTCCTACGTTAAGTAAATTTATATTAACATTTTTAAAGACAGTTATGAAAAAACCCTCACTTAGCTCACTTATTTACAAGGTCCTGCCATTGGCTTTAAATAATTATTCTCTAATATTTCTAAAATTTGTTTCCACGATTATTCAACAAATTTAACTTATAGGATCCCTAAAAATTAGCTGATTTGCGAGCTGAATATTCTGAGATTTTCGAAATGATTTTGCGGTATTAATACCCATATTCATGATGATTTTTGCACTAAAAACGGAAACCATATTTATGATGAACATATTATTTTATTTGAAAGGTTCCCCCAAATCTCTCTCTAAATACAAAATCGACAATAGAAACTAATCAATTGCATTAAATCAAACAAATTATATCTATTTATATTAACATTTTTGCAGCAACTTATGAAATAAATCATGGGGTTTAAACTTATTTACAAGCTTTGCCACTGCTTTAAATACAAAATCTTATAAAATCAAAAATTATAATTTTCTAAAACAAATATTAATTGATCGAAAGTTATATATTCGATCATAATTGTTAGTTGTTACGCTTATTTAGCTGCTTTATTCAAGCACATTCTTAAAAACTTATTTCCAAAATCTTTCAATTTGTTTATATTGTTTTAATATATAATCGTCTCATTTAATTGTGTTAGTATGTGATTAGCGGCATAATTGGAACAAATAACAAAATTTCCTTTACTTTAGAGTTTAGACTAACATTAAAAAGCATATTTTTCACTTATAGCTTTCAATTATTTAATGATTTCTATAATTTTAATTTTTCTGAACAAATTCTCTTTGCTCACCGAAGATTCGATTACCTAATCATCCATTTCTAAAAATCATTATAAAAGATAGTATTCTTGACCTTGTCATAACAAACTGAATTAAATTTTGACGATTATATGACTCGACGAGATAAAAGACGGGATGGATTGTAATATGCTTATAAAAAATTATACGATGGGACAAGTTTGAATTGATAATACTATAAAGTTAAAATCTCACTAATTTTATATGTCAAAACGGATAAAATATTCATACGTTAATATGTCAATACTATAAAATAAGAATTAGAAAAAACGTTTGCCCCGCGGTGTACCGCGGGTTAAAATCTAGTATTTTACAATTTTCCAACAATTGTTAAAACTACATCCTTATCATAAAAAAAAATCATATTATTCCACAATTTCAATAATCAAAAGATATGATAAATAAAATTCATATTATTCCACAATTGTAAATCATTTAGAGGATTTAATGGATGTATCTTAGCAAAATCTTAGGCTAAGGATTTGGCTAATATACTACCATTAAGGATGTCCTAGCAAGACTTATGAATAAAGAAAAAAAGAAAAGATATAGTGTGTAAAATTATACAAAGAAAAATAGAGAAAAAATAAAAAATCGCTTTTGTGATTACATAGTTTTTCTGCATCTAAAATAATTTGAAGTATCTCTTAAACGATGTCACACTGTCACACAAAGTCAAAAAGCTCACCGTAATCTCAACTCTCTTCCATGCACATAAAAATCAAAAACTTATTCAACTTTGAATTTGTTCATTTGGAATCAGTCAAACAAGCTTATACTTTACATTAACCATGACATGAGATCCTAAGAATTGGCCATGGATTCTATCTACAATTTGAGTCATGTATGTATAAGTTGGAAAGAAACAATTCACACACAGTTTCTGGCACCAAATCTTTGATATCACTAAGCACCAATTCATATTGCTTATGTCAAAAGCTTAAGCATCTCCAAGATCTCCCCATCTCACATTGTACTTAGATGCAAGGTAATGTGCACCAACAGGACCTCTGCTTCCATATGGATAGAGTTCAGGAACAATTTTCTTCTCCTCGAGTTCCTTCAAAGCCGGTGTGAATAGATCCCATGCTGCATCTAGCTCATCACTTCTTATAAACAACCTCCTCTCTCCTTCGATCGCATCAAGAAGTAGTCTTTCATATGCATCTGGTATCTCTCTTGGATACCTATCAACCCAAAAAGAGTATAAGTAAATAACCTTAGATAGGAAAACTAGAATCAGATAGTATATACCTGGACCGATATAGAAGGTTAAGGTCGCTGCGATCTAGTCTCATTCCAAGACCAGGAACTTTGTTGTTGATCCTTAGGTATATGCCTTCATCAGGCTGAACTCTGATCACTAGTTCATTAGTTGCGTTGTCTAAATTAGTTGCAAAACTTTTCTTGTACAAGTTTCCTGGGACATGTCTGAACTGAACTCTGATTTCTGCTCCTCTGGTATGGAGAGCCTTCCCGGCTTTCATTAGAAAAGGAACACCATCCCATCTCGCATTGTTGATGAACATGGCTGCTGCTGCAAATGTAGGAGTAAGACTGTGATTTGGTACCGTTGGATCGTCTGTATAACCTTGATAAGTCTTGCCTCCTTTGCTGTGCCCTTTGTATTGCCCAACAATGACATCTTCAAGACGTAACGGTTTCATTGATCGCAAAACTTTCACCTGAACAGGAACGCATAATCATCAGCATAGTATTTTATTACCAACCTACAGATTTGGTAGTGAAGAAACTCTTACCTTTTCACTTCTTATATCCTCAGCATCTAAGCTCACAGGCGTCTCCATCGCGAAAAGTGCAAGTATCTGCAAGAGATGGTTTTGCATGATGTCTCGTATAATTCCATACTGATCAAAGTACCTGCAATGATTTAACATTAGATAAGGTGTTCCATGCTTGTAACAATGTAATTTGTCTATAAAAGCTTACCCTCCACGTCCTTCTGTTCCAAAATCCTCAGAAAAAATCAGTTGAACGTTGCGTATGTAATTTCTTGACCATAGAGGCTCGAAAACAAGATTTGAGAACCGAAGCACGGAAAGGTTCTCAACAAGCTCCTTTCCTAAATAGTGGTCAATCCTAAGTAAACCAACATAACATTACAATTTTGTTCCAACTTAGAATTTAAAAATATGGCGGTGATGGTTGTTGTGGGCAAGGAAAATGGCTAACCTGAAGATTTGCTCCTCTGTGAGATACTGTTTCAGACATCTAGTTAACTCTCCCGATGATTCAGAGTCTCGACCGAATGGCTTTTCGACAATGACCCTTGTCCAGCCGTTTGCTGAGGAGGCTCTAAGGCTTGCACACCTTACCACATCGACAAATATGTTTGGGGGTATAGACAAATAGTACAGCCTGTTTGCTAGCTTTCCTGCCTAATAAGAAGAAACCAAACAAGATTAAAGTAAGAAGAGAGGAATCAGAGTGTGTCTTGAACAGAGTGGTAAGAAAATGTTTACCTCTTTCTCTTTGAGCTTGGTGTTTAGTGCTGCAAAATCCACTTCCGAATTATACTGACCAGAATGGTAAAAACATCTTTTCAAGAACTGATCCATTTTGTCCCCACAATTTTCCCTGTTAATTCAAACCTTTTCTCATATAACCAAACCATAGAGTTTACCTTCAACATACAACAAACTAAAATACATAGCAGAATAAACCTTTGATCAATCCGGCAAGTCAATGTACTACTAATCATATCACGAAGCTCGTCATGAGTGAGTTTGGTCCGAGCATAACCAAAAACAGTAAAGTCCTGAGGAAGACAACCCTCATAAAAGAGAGCAAACAATGCAGGGAATATCTTCTTCTTGGCCAAGTCCCCAGAAGCTCCAACGACTGTAATACTAAGAGTAGACTCTTCTTTTGTGACATGTTCCTCCTCTGTTAGATGATCTCCCACTGAAACATTTGCACAAAATACAAAAAGAAGCTTTACAAACTACTTCAACTCATTAAAAGACAGAGACTTTATCAACCAAATTCCCAAACCAATCCCTTACTAATTGCTATCTTATCTTCTTCCATCAATCCTAGCATTACCAAAGACAGAAACTTTGACATGAAAAATGGTATCTTTGAGTGAAAAGACTATAAAAGATACAATCAGAAGCTTTACAAAATACTTCAACTCATATAAAGACAGAGACTTTATCAACCAAATTCCCAAACCAATCCCTTACTAACTACTATATAATCACTCTAATCTTATTCAATCAATCAAAGACAGAAACTTTTACATGAAAAATGGTATCTTTGAGAGAAATGGCTGTAAAAGATACAATCTAATTTGCTATCTAATCACTCTAAACTTCTACAATCAATCAAAGACAGAAACTTTCACATGAAAAATGGTATCTTTGAGTAAAAAGTCTATAAAAAGATACAATCTTTGATCTTTGTTCCACTCCTAATCAGCAAAATCAACCACAAGGGCAAGAAAAGTTGCAACAAGCATTACATAAAACACATAATGATCTAGTAAAGAACTTGGAGAAGAAGAAACTCACAGTCTTGTAAAGAAGCAAAATTAGTAGCAGAGCCATTAGAGGATTCGAGCTGATGAGAATGTTTCTCAGCAAAGAATCTCAAACGAAACTGAGAAAACCAAAATTTTCTCGGGAATGTGAGAGATCGACTGAAGAAGAGTGGTAAAGTCTCTTTAAACGGAGA